CACTTTACTAGGCATCGTATATAATGAATTAAATAATGTCATTGCCTTCTAGAAATTAATCATCAAAGATAGTAATCATGTGAAGAGAAATAATAAGATATAAATTTAGCAAATGCAGAACAATAAATTAGTAAATCATTTACATTATTTGTTTAAAAGAGATGAAGGAAGAATCCTAGAAATTGTTGACGATGGAGAATCATTCCCTTCTCTCAATTACAATAGTTAAATGCCTTGCAAGTGTAGTGGGATTTCTGTAGCTATTCAGTTCAATATGAAAATCTTTCACTTTTTTGTCCAGGCATGGTGGCTCACGCCTGTAATCCCAGCACTTTGGGAGGCCTGAGTGGGTGGATCACCTGAGGTCAGGAGTTCAAGACCAGCCTGGCCAACATGGTAAAATTCTGTCTCTACTAAAAAATACAAAAATTAGCTGGGTGTGGTGGTGCATGCCTGTAGTCTCAGCTACTGGGGAGGCTGAGGCACGAGAATCGCTTGAACCCAAGAGGCAGAGGTTGCAGTGAGCCAAGATCACACCATTGTACTCCAGCCTGGATGACAAAGTGAGACTCTGTCTCAAAAAAAAAAAAAAAAAAAGTCTTTTGCTTTTTCATAGTAATATTAGTAGGTAATGTGTCTTTTGGTAATGTGTGAATAAGAAATAAAATCCAAAAGCATTTTCCTAAAACCAACAAAAGAAAACCCCTTACTCCTCTGAGGGCCACTGGTCTTAACATAGTTTTGCAAATGCTTCACCCAGATTGCAAATTTCATTTGTGGATTCACTAGGAAACACTTGTGCTTCTCAGAATTGCCAGCTTCTGTTAACATATTCAGAGTAGAAATCATTCATAGATTATCATAGAATGACCTTCCACATCAGGGACTGGGATACTTTGACTCTATTTCTGGCTTTGACATTTTTTCCCTTGATAATCATTCACCAAAACGATATTATGTGGTTAGCAAAGCCAACACTTACCTTTCAAGGATACAGTTCCCATCTTCAAAAATGTCTTGCTTAGTTTTTAGTGTATAAAACTTCCTTGTTTTTATTAATATAGCTATGGTAATTTCAGAGGCTATTTCAAAGGATACTCCAAGAAGTTTGATTATAGGAAACCCACACATTTATTAGCTATACTCTAAGGAGGACAATAGCCTTTCAAAGCAAACAACGCTAGAATTACTGTTAGCTCTTGCTTATCCATGATATTTGAGGATAAAGAAAACTATCAAGATAGCAACCAGTTAGTTTCAATCTCCTTTCAGTTACAATGGCCCCAAAACCTATTGTTTCACCAAATCTCTTACTGAAACTAACACATAGCCACATGACTGAAGTTTGGCCCCCTTTCCTTTCCCTTGCCCTCCCTCTGGTGGAGGTGTTCACAAGTGAGATGTCCACCATGGGCAGCTAAAGAGAATTCCAAAGGCTTGCACCCTCCAGCAATTAAGCCGATTAGCCTTTGGAATGGAGGAAAACCAGCTGTAGGCTTCCTCTTTCCAGATGCATAGGGGTGCCACACTCACTCTTTGGTCTGGTCAGAGAGCATCCAAATGACCAAGCGCGGTGGCTCACGCCTGTAAACCCAGCACTTTGGGAGGTTGAGGTGTCAGTTGTTCGAGATCGGTCTGGGTAATGTGGCGAAACCCTGTCTCTACGGGGGTGGGGGGGGTGGGGGTGCGGCGGGGTGCGGGGGGGGGTAAAAGAAAAAGAAAGAAAAATTACCCTGGTGTGGTGGCGTGTGCCTGTAGTTCCAGCTATTCAGGAAGCTGAGGCACCAGAATCTCTTGAGCCCAGGAGGCACAGGTTGCAGTGAGCCGAGACTGTGCCACTGCACTCCAGCCTGGTGACAGAGTGAGACGCCGTCTCAAAAACAACAAAAACAAACAAAACAAACAAGCAAAAGCGTCCAAATGAGAGCTGATATTAAAATATTCTTGTTCATGGCTTCAGAAAGGAATAGACCTAATTTTTAACTGGGTTCATATATTCCTAAACAGTAACAATAAAATGTTATAAACAGTAGGGTTGCTGTTGGGGAAATAGTACAAACTTCTGCTTCATAATCATATTTTATTTTATTTTTTGAGATAGAGTCCTCGCTCTGTCATCCCGGCTGGAGTGCAGTGGTGCAATCTCAGCTCATTCCAACCTCTGCCTCCCGGGCTCAAGAGATTCTCATGCCTCAGCCTCTCATGCAGCTGGGATTCCAGGCTCGTGCTACCACGCCAGGCTAATTTTTGTATTTTCAGTAGAGACAGGGTTTCACCATGTTGCCCAGGTTGGTCTCGAACTCCCGGCCTTAAGTGATCCGCACGCCTTGGCCTCCCAAAGAGCTGGGATTACAGACATAAGCCACCATGCTCAGTCTGTAATATTTTAATTGAAATAATTTTTTTTTTACATTTTAAAAGTGTCTTCTGTTGCCCTGGCTGGAGTGCGCTGGCGTGATCAAGACTCACTGCAGCTTTGATCTCTCGGGCTCAAGCGATCCTCACACCTGAGCCTTCCAAGTAGCTGGGACCGCAGGCATTGACCACCACACCTGGCTAACTTAACAAAATTTTTTAAATAGAGATAGGACCCCGTTATGTTGCCCAGGCTTGTCGAACTCATGGGCTCAAGCGGTCCTCCTGCCTGGGCCTGCCAAAGTGCTGAGATTACAGGCATAAGCCACTGCACCTGGCCTTAAAAGTTTCTTCACATCTATATCTCATTTGATTCTCTTCAACAGTCCAGCAAGATAGGGAGGGTGCTGTTACAACTCAGAGGCCCAGTGGAAGCCCAGTTAAATTTTTCAAATTTTAACTATGTGCCTTTTGCACTCTCCATCCAGATAGCCTAATACGCGTGAGACACCTAAGAGAGTAACTTATCATAACAGTTCTTAAAAACATTCCCAAATTTTGGAACATCACGATTATATTTGTCCCAGGAGTAGAGTTACATTGGCACTGAAAGACCACAATAATTAACACATAGTAAGTTAAGTGTTAGCTGTTATTATTAAAAACCCATATTAAGAGGTAGTATACTGTTGTTTTTTTTTTTTTTTTTTTTGAGACACAGTCTGGCTCTGTTGCCCTGGCTGGAGTGCCACTCTTGGACATAGCTCACTGCAGCCTTGAACTCCTGGGCTCAAGCGATCCTCCTGCCTCACAGCCTCCTAATCAGCTGGGACTACAGGCGCATGCCACCACGCCCAGCTAACATTTTGCTTGTACAAACGGGTCTCCCTATGTTGCCCACGCTGGTCTCAAACTCCTGGACTCAAGCGATCCTCCCACCTCAGCCTCCCGAAGTGTTGGGATTACAGGCGTGAGCCACTGAGCCCAGCCTAGTATAGTATTGTGAATAAAAGAATGGACTCTGGAGCCAGATACCCTGGGCTTGAAACCTTCCTTCACCACCCACCTATCTTGTTGTGTAAAGCTTTTAGAGGAATACCTAGCAGGAGGCGTTGAATTTGATAGCTCTAGTACTTAGACACATAAGTAATAATTCGCGCTAAGTTATGTGGTAAATGGAGTTGGATTGTAATCTTGGTCCTTACATCTTATTACCTCTTATAGAAATATTGCCTCTCTAGGTTATGTTATTTTTCCATAATTTTTAGAATGTGTTTTCCTTCCTTTTCCTTCTCCTTTCATGGCCCACATTTTACTCTCCTTTATCAAACTGCAAATTTCACAATCGACATTTACAAAAATTTCTAGTGCAAAAATTTTAACCCAAATGTCCTTAGCTGTTAGGTATTCCGTTTATGCCGTGCATGCACATTTGCATGTGTAAGGAGTTGTTTTGTGCTGTAAATTGTTTTTCCTTTCTGGACATATTCTATAAACCCACAAGCGGTGAGCTACTTGAACCCTGAATTTCTATTCACTTCTTGTTAATTTACTCAATAGTATCTAGCACTGGATACTGCTACAGCCAGTGGGCTATTTAGTAAATTACCATCTGACTGGCAATCCCTCCTTGTATTTTATTCTATTTTTCTTTTCTTGATTGTTAGCTGACTTGTTTGGTGACGGGCTGTCAAGAACATGCAAATTTCGTGGCCATCTAAAAATGATCTCGTCAACGTCTTTCCTCGAATTGAAGCGGAGGATTTAGCTGTCGATTTGGTTTGGCACCATCCACTTTAAGGAAGATGTAAAAACGAAGGCGCAGGTGCCCCAGCTGCAGGGCGTGCTTTATGTCCCCGCTCCCCTGTCCCCCACAAAGAAACAGGACCTCAGGTGGTGGGCGGGCGGGGGAAGACTCTAAGTCTACAGGGGAGAGTAGCAAGAAAGAAGGAAAAGGTAAGCGGACTCCATAGCTTCTAGGTTTTGTTCCTCTTTTTTTTCCCTCTGGACGGCGGTGGCAGCTGATCAGACACAATAGCTGGCAGTCCCCCGCCGCAGTGAGGATAAAAATGACCCTCAACAGCACCAGCAGGAGCACTGAAAAGGAGAGAGGAGTGTGTATGGGAAGGGACCGAGGATGAGGGTGACAAGGTGACAAACGCTGCCTCCGACTGCGAGCAACTCCCCTCCAGACCCGCGAGGTTCGGAGCCGGGGAGCCACCTCCCAGGAGCCGGGCGGGGTGGGAAGGGGAGGCCGAGGGGGCGGTGGCCTTCACCTGGGGGCGGGGAAGAGGGCGGAGGGAAGCCTGACTAACCAGTCCCTGATTGGCTCGCGTTCTCCCATCGTGTCTCCCGATTGGACAATTTGCAGCGGGAGATGTTGTGAGGCGCGGTGGGGCGGAGCGAGCTGCCGGGGTCTGTGACAAGGCCCGGGAGCTGGGTGGGGAGGGAGGCGGTTGTGCCGCGGCTCCGGAGCGGCTGTGACCTGAAGTGTGGCGGACAGAGAAGCGCAGCAGCCTCTTCACAGTTCCGCTAGCCGCGCCAAATTCGCTCAGTCGCTCTGCAGAATTTATAAAAGGGAAAGAACTGAATGAGCAACGCTTGGCTAACTTCCCCCTTCCCACCACAGGAAGAGATTTTGCTGTGAGGCGTGAAGGGACACTCCCTTATCTGCAAGTCCCACGTCTGGTCGCAGCTTCATTGCCTGCCCGCTGCAAAAAAGGGGGGGCACAATTTGCCAATCCCCGTCCCCCGGTCTAGGACCTTTGATCCCTCGAGTCTGCAGATGTCGCTGTTATAGGCTTGTCCCCCTCTCCACCCCAGACGCCTACCACCAGGTCTCCTTCCCCGGGAGCAAGCCCATCCCTGGACGCTGCCACTCAGCGCTTGGGAGACTGCAGGGGCGGGGAGGGTTGTGTGTGCCTGGTTTTGGGGTGCTGGGGGGCGAGGGCTTGTAGGTCCCGCGACCCACGGGAAGGGGGCAGGCGAGCACCCCCCTCCGGCCTCCGGGTAATCCCCCTTCTCCAGCGTCGGTTCCCCGGGCCCGTGTTATTCAAGACAGAAAATATTCAGCCCCAGAGCCTCCCCTGGGGAGGGGAGGGGAAGGAGGTGGAGTGGGAGGAGGTGGATCCAGGGAGGAAGAAGCGAGAAATCCGCCCCCGGGAAACAGCTCCGCGCGGCCGCGGAGCGAGGCGCTTCTGTCACTTGGCGTTCGCGGGCGCCGGAGCGGGGCCCCGGCCCGGCCCGGCGAGGCGAGGGGAGAGTCCGGCGGCCGCCGCCCCGCCCCACGCCCTCCCGCGGCGGCCGAGAGCCCGGGGCCGGCCGGGGCAGGTCGCGGCGGTGCCTGGGAGCGGCCGGCCGGGGGCGGCGGCCTCGGAGCGCGGCGGCGGCGGCGGCGGCGGGCAGCGCGGGATCGTCCTGCTGCGGGGTCCGGCTCACGCCGGGCGGGGCGCGCTGTCCCGGAGCCGGCCAGCCCGGTGCGGATCCACTCGTCCCGCTTCCTCTGGTGCGTGTCTGGTTTCTTTTCCGTCTCAGCCGGGAGGGCGCCGCGCTCGCGGGCCGGGGTGAGCCCGGCTCGCCGCAGGCTCTCTCCCTTCCCGCCACCTCAGGCCACCCGGCCTGGCGCTGGCTTGGGGCGGGAGGGAGCCCGCGGCGGGCGCCCGGCGGGGGCGGAGGGGCCGCGCCCGCGTGTGCAGAGCGAGGGCGGGCGGCGGGGCGGAGGGAAGGGCACAAAGGCCGGCGGCGGGCGCCGGGGTCCGGCCGGCCGGCCTTGGAGGAGGGGCGCCCGGGGCCGCTCATGAATATTAACCGAGCCTGCGGCCTAGCGCGTCCCGGCCGGGCCCGGCGCCCGGCCCGCGTCCCCGCTCCAGCTCGCCGCCGCGCTTTGGCCGCCTGGCCCGAGCGGGCGGGAAGGGTAAGGCCCCCGGTTTTGTCTCGCCCAGGGGCTCCTAGCACCTTTGAGAAAGCCCATATTGGGGCCGCTCTCTTTGGGAGCTGGAGGTCTCCGACCCGCCTCAGGAAGGGGCGGGGGAATCGTGGGGGAGGTGGGTGGTGGTTTGGTTTTTCCTAGTTTTTTTCCCCCCTAGGTGGCCACAGGGGAAGGAAAGCCGTGTCGAGTTGTAGTTGGGGGAAAAGCCGCGACTTCAGAGTTGCTCGAGTGTGGCTTCGGAATCATGCCCCGGAGCGGGATTGGCGCCCGCGTCCCACCCGCGGCCGCGCACGCCTCCCCGGCCGTCCCCGGCCGTCCCCACCCAGCCCCGCCGCGGGCCAAGGAAAACAGCCGCCTCCTCGGGGACGCCGGCCGGGGCGGAGGGGCGGAGGGGCGGCGCCCGAGTCACCCGGAGACGCCGCCGAGCCCACGCCGGCCCCAGCCAGGCTGGCTTTGTGCTTGAGTTTTTGGGGGGCGGAGGGGAACGAGGAGGGGGCTTGAAAAGTGTGATCCCATTTCAACCTCGTGGGGGAGAAAACTTCCCCGAAGTGTCCCTGTCTGGGTGATGCAGAAAAGAACATGCACAGCCCTCTGCTCTGCCCAGGAAAGACATGAATTAAAATGCACTTGAATGGGGAACGATTTTCTTGAAGGCTGCATAACAGCCAGGTGTGTTTGATGTGTTTGACGCAACCGCTGGGCAGTTTTGAGATTTTTCTTTTTTAAACACCCCCTCGAATTTATAGGCTTTTTGTTTGTTTACGTTAAAAAAAATTTTTTTTTTGTTTTGTTTTGTTAGGGAGGAAACGCGAACTTGGTGTGGACTTGTGGGCAAGACAGTGATAGGCGCCTGGAGAAAGTTCACGCCCTTTAACTTCTCCTTTTCCTAGGATCTCTCTGGGAGCTGACACTCGAGCCTTCACGACCCGTTCGGATTTTTCCAGGACTCAGGAGTGGCACTGGGAAGAAGGGGACCGCTTTCTGCAATTGGCCTCGACACTGGCTTCCAAGAAGACCTGTCGCCTTTGTTTTTAAGTCTCCAGAAATGGAAGAAGAAGGCGAAGTCAGTTGAAGTCGCGAGAAATCAGCAAGGCATTTGAAGGCGCTTCCTGAAAACCTTCATTCCCTGGCACGTTGTCTGTTTCACCAGCCCTGCCCCTCGGAGCTTGCTTGCGGAATTCTTCCCCTTCGGGTGTGTGGTGGCATCCCCCCCCCCACCTCCAATGTGGATTCCAAAGGATTTGTCCCTTCTTTGTCATTTGAAATGAAATGATGGCCACGCGTCGGACTGGTCTGCCTGAGGGAGATGGTGACAAGCTCAAGGCCTGCGAGGTAAGCGCGGAGCCAGCGTTCCTGGCCAGCAGGGCGGTGGCCTGTGTCTTGAGTGTCCTACAAGTTGGGGGTGACCGGCCACCGGGCCTCACTAGGGGCTTCCCGGGGCTTTGAGCTGGTTGGTGGGAGCGCCCCAGGTTAACCAGTAGCGAGGTGAAGCCTGGCCCACGTCTGTTTCCAGAGACTCCCGTGTTTCTTTTGCAAGAACACGTCCCGCATTTTGGAATGTCCTCATCTTGGTCACTCCTCAGAGCCAGGAATTGTCCCATCTCTGTGGCTGTGGGTACTGCAAGCCTGAGAATGGGCACCTGAGTATCCGTTTTCCTTCAGTCCTCTTCCAAGATATTTGGAATTGAGCTGGTTGGGGGTGGTTTTGAGCGTTTTGTGTGTCTGTGTCCAGGATTTGCCCTCCCGGGTGCAGAGACGGCAGCTAGTATGCTTGTTGCACCTGGGACTTAGTCTTTCTTTGGCACTGACGGTGGGCGCCTGGCTGCTGTTGCTGCAGATCTCTGCTTTAGGTAGAAAAAGACGTGTTTTTCCGTGAACAATTCAAGCACAGCTCTGGAAAACGACCTTACAGAGTCGTAATTCCAACTCCCGGAAAAAAATCTCGTGCCTTTGCTGTTCTCTTATTTATACCCTCCCTTTCACACCTCTGGAGTTCTGTGAGCCGCTCTGGGGTGTCAGGTGGGTTGCGTTGCTGCTTAGGGTAGCATCTAGCATCTTCCCAAGACCCAGAGATTTTACTCCAGACTTCCTAAAAATTTTTGAGTAGGCAGGACAGAAATCATAGACAATACATTGATTTATGACACCCATATACCCTGATGCCTCTCACCTTTTTTTTTTTTCCTCCTCGCGTTTGGAGATTGAAGTATTCGGAATTTACTTCCATTATGAATACACTATGTTTATTATTGGCGATTTCTGTAATTTGTTCATTAAATAGACTGAATATTGTTATCCTTTAAATTTTACTTTTGAGATGCCTATGTTTTCATTGAAGCGTTGAGGATTACTTTAGACAATAACATACCCAAGTGAACCCTCATTCACCGTCTCACGTTCTTTTGCACCGGATGTTAAATTTTAACTTCATAGTCCTTGAAACAAGGTCTGGTTGTCAGTGTGTGAGTTTTGGCATTTTAATAAAAATGAATCAGAAGTTAAATTTTGGCTCATAAAGCATGCAGAGAAACTTGCTTCATGCAGCTTACTTCATGTCGGATTAGAAGGTTTATGCAGAAAACGCTGTGAGGTACAGCGTGCTATTACTGTACAATTTATTAGAACTATAGGTTTACATTTAGAATCAGTGTTTTACTTTTTGACATCTGTAAACACCTGCTTGCAGGCAAAAGCATGATTAAATAGAACACCACAATCCTCTGATCACGGTAAACCATAATAACTCCTTTTGGAAGGCCTACCTGCAACCTGGTGATTGCTTAATGTGTATTGCAGTTACATAATAATATGTATTGTGGTCCTGAAGCCTTATTTGTCATTGTCTTGTGAATACTTTAATTAGCATTATATTTGCATTCTATTTGCGAGAACTAATGTTATTTGATGATTATTATTTTTTGGTCATTTAAGAGATGTCCTGAAACCAAGAATTTAGACACATCTTGTCCTTGGCTAGCAAGCAGTATTTCCAGTTTGTTGCACACTTGGCTTTTATTAACAATGACAGTTATGTATTTTTTAACGGCTGTGAAATTCGTTTTCATTTGGACCTTGCTGCTGGCGGCATGGCTATCTTGTTTCTAGTTTGGGAATGAAGAAAACAATATCACCTGTATTTTGCTCATGTGAAATATATATACAGTATTTAGGTTTGGTATTAAACTACAATATTATTTGACTTTCTAAAGAATAGATATTTTGCCTAGATTCTATGTGGAAGTGGAAATAAAGGCATATATGCTGTCAGAAAACATTTTAAAACCTCAGGGTTGGGAGTGAAGAGAACTTGTGTGATTATTACCTGTATTTAGTTGTGTTGTGTTTTTATCTGTGATTGATGCTTCTGATACACATTAAATCTTGTGAATATTTTTTAGCAATAGGGAGTTGCCAATGAAATACTTCGGGCTAATATTTAGGTTTTTGAACACTGCTCTTAATTTTTGTCCTCACTTTTATTAGAAGCACTACATTCCACAGTGGTACTATCATTCTTTAAAAAATGTTAAAAATCCATAATGTGTTTGGGTACTACATTTATTATTGTGTTTTTAATTAACAAAGAGATGAGTATGTGTGTCTCAATAGTAATGCTGTCAGTCAGCCAAGAAAACCTAACTTTGTAGGGCAGCAGAAATCAATGTAATGAATTAATAGGAGTCTCTCTTTCATGCTTTAATTAGCCAACTCCACCTTCTCTGAATAAGGTCTTGCACTTTGTTGAAAAACAGCAAAATACTCGTTCATCTTAAGCATTACAATGTTATTGTGTTGATATATGAATACATTTAGGCCTCCCCACCCCCAGGATATGTTGGAAGGCTCAAAACAAATCAACAGCCCTCTTCAAATAAAAAATTAGGACAGTTCAATAGAATATGTCTTGGCATTATACAGTAAGGATGGTCCAGATGGTACTCACATGAATTTATTTACTTTATACATCTCAAGGTGTATTTTTAAAACTTGAAATCACTCACTCTGAACCTCTTAAGTGATTTTTTGGTGTGTGTGTATGTGTGTGTGTGTGTAGTCTGTCAAGTCTTCTGACACCAATCCTTGAGTAACTTTGCTCACAAAATCACTTTATATAGATTCTTCTGTGATATTATCACCCCTTTTCATATCCATATAGCTTCATCTTTCAAGGTTCAACGTTTTTTTTTTTTTTAAGCCAAAGAAGAGAAAACTTTCCCTCAGCTTTCTAAACCACATAATTTTTTTTCCATTTCTAACATTTATTTCACTTTTTATCTGTAGTCCATACTCTTGTCCAGTAATAGAATTTTTGACACTTTATTATTAAACTTTTTACTAATGCAAATGAACTTATTTTTGTTTTGCTTCTTGACCTAGGCTAAGATTATTCTATGACTGAAATGTATTATGGCTGATGAAATACACTTGTTGGTTGATTTTGAAATACTGTAAACAATACAATAAGACATTGTTCTGGGTACGAGTTTGTATGAATCCATGTATTGACTCTTCCTTCTGGAATGCTGGACAGTTGCTTTTGCTTTCATCCCAGACTCCCTGATTCCTTCTCAGTCACTCTCCTTTTCCCTTCCTCCTTTCTGTTTCCCTATCTGCCTCTTTTGTAGGGTTTTTCTTCCTCCTCTTGCCTCATTGTTGGTTTCATCCAGAGCCAAGGCCATTCCATTCCTTTATTCTCTTTCTCACTCCCTGGGTTTTATTTTACACTCTCCTGTGTGCTGGTGACTCCATAGCTACACCTGTATCTCAGGCTTTATGGTTGACCTCTAGACCTTTTCAGCCAGTTGCCTATTTACCGAATGAACACTTTTGGGGGATATTCCCCAGGCATTGCAAACTCATCAAATTTCACCGCTACCACTGACCCTTCCTCTTCCTGTGCGCCTTCTTTCTCTGAATAGCACTACCATCTCTTTATTATTGGTCCAAGTCAAAAACTAGGTCAGCATCCTCACTCTTCTGTCTCGTCATTCCTCATATGCAAAGTCCTGTGGAGTCCACATTCCCAATACCCACTACCCCTACCCGAGTTCAGGTCAGCTGCATCTCCCTGATGAACCACAGAAACAGACTCCCTATGGAGTATCCCAATAACTTAGCCTTGTCCCCTTCCACAGCTCTGCCCCTACCATAATCAGAATGATCCTCCTGATGGGCACATCACCTGAGGTCAGGAGTTCCACGCCAGCCTGAGCAACATGGTGAAACCCCGTCCCTACTAAAAATACAGAAATTAGCTGGGTGTAGTGGTGCACACCTGTAGTCCCAGCTATTTGGAGACTGAGGTATGAGAATCCTTGAACCCAGGAAGCAGAGGTTGCAGCGAACCAAAATCGCGCCATTGTACTCCAGCTGATCATTACATTACCTCCTATAAGACAATTTTCTGTCTTCCCATTTCCTTTGAAATAAAATTCAGACTTCTGGGAAGTCTGAAAGGACTTCGGTAATTTGGTCTGCCCTTCTGTCTCACCTGTTACTTCTTTTTGTTCTTCCTAGATTGAACTCCAGTCAGGTCCTTTCTTCCACCCTTCCCTTTACTCTCCCCTGCTCCTCCTCCCTCTGCTCCATGGCTGAGTTTTACTGTCTTGTCTTCAATACTGCTTCCTCAGGAAAGCCTTCCCTGACCCGCAGGACTGTTGTAGCTGCCCCTGGTGTATTCTCTCAAAACATCCTCATTTTCAGGAATACCAGTTACAAGTTTATTTATCTATATCCCCCTTGGATTGCAGTCCCCATAAGAGCAGGGACCATGTTTGTTTCCACAGTGACTGACACACAGTAAGTGTCAGGTGATATTTTTTGAATGAATAAATGAATATGCAGGAAAGGCTCTACATTTTATTCAGTGTTCATGTAGATTCCGGGACATTATACTCTCTTAATTATCTTCCTTCCTCGTTGTCACCTCCTTCTGTCTCTTTGAAGTTTCCTCAACATCCTGGTCTGCTAAACCTTCCTACACCTCAAGCCTCAGTTAATCCTCTTTTCTTCTCCCAATACTGTTTCATGGTTTTAAATATCAAGTATATGCAGATAATTGACATACACACACTCACTTATATTTCTTTACGTGTACGTGTGTGTATCTCTATTGCTGACCTGCTGCTCTGTCTCTCAGATTCAGATTCCTGTATCCAACTGACCTGCCTGCCTAGAATCTCCATTAGGATAGTAAATAGGCGTATCTAAAACCACAATCCTGGCTCTACCTCCATTCCCCTAGCTCACCTTCCCAAGTCTGCTCCTTCCAGTCTTCCTCATCTCAAGCAATAGCAATCCCACCCTTCCAGGCCAGGAATCTTGGAGTGATC